AGTTCATGTGATATAATGTGAGTTATCTGGAACAAACTCCCAGAAACCTGCAGGTCTACTTTTAAATCCAGGCTGAAGACTTTTCTTTTTGTCGCTGCTTTTAATTGAACTATTCATATCTTAGACTGCACTGTAACTTTGATCCATGTATTTTTTCTTTTAATGTTTAATTGAACTATTCATATCTTAGACTGCACTGTAACTTTTATCCATGTATTTTTTCTTTTAATGTTTAATTGACAGCACTGTAACTTTTATCCATGTACTTTTTCTTTTAATGTTTATTTTATTAGCTTTTCTTTTTAATGACTGATTTTAAATGCCTTTTTCTTAATCTCTTTCATTTTTTGTAAAGCACTTTGAATTGCCTTGTGTTGAAAAGTGCTATATAAATAAACTTGCCTTGCCTTGCCTTAATGTGAGGTAATGTGAGGTAATGTGATATAATGTGAGGTAATGTGAGTTAATATCAGTTAATGTGAGTTAATGTGAGTTAATGTGAGGTAATGTGAGTTCATGTGATATAATGTGAGTTAATGTGAGTTAATGTGAGGTAATGTGAGGTAATGTGAGTTAATGTGAGGTAATGTGATATAATGTGAGGTAATGTGAGTTAATGTGAGTTAATGTGAGTTGTTAATGTGAGTTGTTAATGTTGGTTAATGTGAGGTAATGTGAGTTAATGTGAGTAAATGTGAGGTAATGGGATTAAATGTGATATAATGTGAGTTAATGTGATTTAATGTGAGTTAATGTGAGGTAATGTGAGTTAATGTGAGGTAATGGGAGTTAATGTGAGTTCATGTGAGGTAATGTGAGTTAATGTGATATAATGTGAGTTAATGTGAGTTAATGTGATATAATGTGAGGTAATGTGAGTTAATGTGAGGTAATGTGAGTTAATGTGAGTTAATGTGAGTTAATGTGAGTTGTTAATATGAGTTGTTAATGTGAGGTAATGTGAGTTAATGTGATATAATGTGAGTTAATGTGAGTTGTTAATGTGAGTTGTTAATGTGAGTTGTTAATGTGAGTTAATGTGAGTTAATGTGAGTTAATGTGAGTTGTTAATGTGAGTTAATGTGAGTTAATGTGAGTTAATGTGAGTTAATGTGAGTTAATGTGAGTTAATGTGAGTTAATGTGAGTTAATGTGAGTTGTTAATGTGAGTTGTTAATGTGAGTTAATGTGAGTTGTTAATGTGAGTTAATGTGAGTTGTTAATGTGAGTTAATGTGAGTTGTTAATGTGAGTTAATGTGAGTTAATGTGAGTTAATGTGAGTTGTTAATGTGAGTTAATGTGAGTTAATGTGAGTTAATGGGAGTAAATGTGAGTTACCTGTCAGCCCACGGCCCTCTCTCACACACCAGGCCTCTGCGCGATGCCTTCCACTGCCTGAGGGTGGCGCTGTTCTGGCTGTGCTGCTGCTTCAACATGCTGTTGTAGCGCAGGTTCTCCTGGCGGCCTCTGCGTGAGAAAGGCTCCACGAATTGCTCCTGAAGAGGTAGAGTGTATGCATTAGAAAGTGTGAGGAAAAGAGGCTTCAGTAATCATCCTTTTATATGTATTATTGCAGCTCACCTGGAAGCGGATCTTGCTCTCCCCTCTGTCCCTCTCCCTCTTGTGCAGGCTGACCATGAACGCCTCGTAGCATTCCTTCCAGTAGAGAGCCATCGTCTCGTGACCCTGGCTGAACGTCTCGATTTCATACTGCTTCATGTACGGGATAATCTGGAGTCAAAAGGAGAACATTTCCATTGATGCATGGAGGAGAACTCTCTGCTCCATAACGTCTCTTGATGAGATAAGAAGTACTTAATTCATCCCAATTTGGAAAATGTTTGCGTTGCAGCAGCATAAAAAGACATGGCATTGTACATAAGAGAAATTAAAAGACTAGAAATAAACAATCCAAAATGTTAACGTCTCAAATTCTTGATAGGTTTTTTAACTAGATTAGTTATATACTTATTTAATGCGATGCTACAGTATGAACTACAATGTTTGATTGATATATTTCTTATCTTATATCAAATATAATCTGGTAACTTTGATATCAATCTCGTACATATTTGTCGAGGTAGACGCGCCACTCGGGGGATTTGCAGTACAGCTGGAAGTCCTCGAAGAAGGAGGGGCTGCCGTTGGTGTCGGGCAGCTTTGGGAGGTGCAGCTCCATGTAGAGGAGGCGGTGGACTTTGGAGAGCAGCGTCCTCAGCAGAGGAACCAGGAAGGAGTACGTCTCCTCCGCCTGCTCCTCCTCCTGGATGGAGCGCCGCAGGATCCCCTCTACCTTCCCCAGCAGGTAGCACGCCTCGTCCTGACTCGACACCTCCTTCGTCTGCAGGATGCCGTTCAGCTTCGCCGTCGCCATGGCACACACCTGGGGCAGAGGGTAATGGGAAATGAAGCTCAGCGCAAGTTCAACCAGGAAGACCGTCTTTACTAATCAATTTACTATAGCCTCATCCCAATACCCCTCACTCGCGTCCCTTCCTTGCATCTTAGCTCCGCCTCCGTAAGATGCAAGCGAGAGACACGAGGAGGTGACGCGAGGACAGAGGAGTCCTCAGGTATTAATTGGGATGGCCTCGTTCACTCAAACGTCACTTTTAAACGATGTCTGTTAATGATGACATGTGCACAGCTGTATCCCCTCTCATCGGGCTGAACTGAAGAACCCTTTAGAACCGGCCCATTTGTTGTTAAATATTTATTTAAATGAATGAATCTTTCTCTTGTTAGTCAAGGAATTCAATGTATGATGGTTGGTCCTGCTTTTGTGTTCCGTTTTGGTGTAAAATGTAGCCTACATTTAAATAAGAATATAATTATAGTAATGTGAAAGCCTTTTAGAAATGAATTGCACATAATAATTCCCACGGAGCTGTGAGCACTTATACATTTATGTGACGCTTTTCCACTCATCTTCCAGTTGTCGGTTTTCCTCTGTTGAAATGGACCAGCTGTGAAGGTGGGGGCGGGGCTTTTATATGCGAGTAGTGAAAACACTTCCGCGTAGTCTGCTCGCGTGTATCCTCCCTTTCGTCTCCTCCCTCACCCCTCCTCCCTCACCCCTCCTCGACTCCTCCGTGTGCATTTCAGCTATTGGGACTTCCTTCAAAATGGCGTGTCTTGATCGATTTCCGGGTCAAGTCCCGGAGGAGGGGAAGAGAGGAGTCGAGGAGGGGTATTGGGATGAGGCTGTGGTCTATGTTACTACTCTCTCTCCTCTCAATAAGTGATCGGGGGCGTCGCTCCCCAGCTTAACCAATCACTTCGCTCTATTCTCACAAGCCTATCATAGCGTTTTTCTTTTCTCCCTCCCCTGAAGCTCTCTGGCGCCCCCCCAGGGAGACGAGCCTCACACTTTGAAAACCGCTGATCTACCTAATTCTATAATTGTGATTAATTGTGGATTTTCGTCCACATTATTATTCATTGCATTAAAAATAATGTGGAAGAATGTGAAAACATCTCACCTCTGGGTCCTCCTGCGCCATGAAGCCCAGCAGCAGCCGGAGTCCCACCTGGGAGAGTTGGAACCACTGCGATCCGGAGGCGTACCAAACCATCAAGCTGTCCATCAGCGTCACCGTCTCCTCCAGAACCTTCTCCGTCCACAGCGCCGGATTCACCAGACCCTCGGCCTGCAGGAAGTCCTGAACCATGTGCAGCAAGCGCACCGCGTTCTCCGTGTGCTGCGGCAGCGAGGAGGCCGACGCCTCGCGGTTATCACACACCGACCACTCCAACATGCGCTCCATCAGACTGGAGGAGAGAGGAGGGTTTCAGTGGACTTCACAGCGTTTAATATACAGTTATAGTGATCTATTTCTTCTGTCTCTATGTATAAATAATAGATTCTGATTCTTCTCAGCCATTTCCTGTTTGATGCTAAAACAACAACCCTATTTCTGTTTTCTTAATTGTAGCTTGTCTGCAATAAGTCGGATTTATTAGGCAGTAGTTTGTCAGTATCAATGTCTGACCTGAGTTTGATCTGGTCGACAGGAAGCAGCAGCTCGTTGGCGGTTGCCAGTTTGGTGAGAGCAGAGAACACCTGTCCGCGCTCGATCCACGCTGAATCATCTGATCCTTCAACACCTCGCCACATCACGCAGAGCACGATCTCCAGCAGCATGCTGCACAGCTCCTCCTCCGCTCGCTGGGAGGGCACCAAGAACCAAATTGCCTTTGTTATTTTACAAACATCGACCCAATCAGGTCAAAAAAACAACAAAACTCTGTCCCCTTTCATCGTCTCAGCCTCCTCTCACCTCAGCGTTGTTGAAGGACTCGCCCAGTGAGATGTTGTCACTGAACAGGAAGCTGTCTTCAGTCAGGGAGGGCGTTGCATCTCTATCCCCGGTGCTCCCTGGAAAAGGTTTGGATGTCTCCAGAGGTGACGGTGTGCTCTGAGCGCTGCCGGGCGTTTGGCTGCCGCTGTCCCCGCCTTCGAAGGACTGAAGATGGGACAGATCCAGCATCAAACCCCCCGACTTCCCCAAGACCCAAGGCTTTGTGGAGGTGGAGGCAGAAGAAGAAGGTGTGTCCAGGAGAGAAATGGCGTCTCCGTTTTCCAGGCTGTCGACAGAGCGAGTTTCTCCCACGCTGATTCGGTCGTCCTCCAAACGGCTGCCCGTTCTCGACCTCCTTTCATGAGGAACATCCAGACGATGCGTGCCTCCCGATCGGTTGAGATCCAGACTGCAGGTGCTGATTGTGTCCGAGCCACGAAGAGGAAAGGATCCTTCCCCCCGAAGGTAGAGGCGCATGAGGGTGTCCTGCCAACACTGCTGACGAGAAATCTGCACGGCGGCATCTTGTTGGGATTGAAGCAGCTGGTAAACCTGCAGATAGACCGGGAGAACAAGTGAAGTGGATGCAGGGCTCCAAGGACATGAATACAACCTGATGCACGACATGATGAGACATAACGCTGCATCATTTATTATCCAATGTTTTCATTGATACATGCAAATCAACAAATACAGAGAGGCGAAGTCCCGCCCATCTACATCCGACCCATGGGACCTTATTTCGGAAAAAGTATGTATTGAAGTCAATGGAGAGAGAAAGATTATCTCTCGATCCCGTTTGAATTGTGCCACGAATTACACATATGATGTTTGTCAATCTTAAAAAATCATTTCCATGTCAACAAAGTCACAGTTTGTCGTAAAACTGTTGAAATATAAGACTATGAAAAATAGAAAGACTACAAATCCCAGAGTCCCGGTCCCGCATGCTGGCTCTCACGGAACCGACTAACTCCCCTTGTGTGTGTGCACAGCTCTCAACGCGCCCAGACTTGGAGTGATTTCCACCTCTTTCAATACTTTCCGCCTCATTCTGAAAGAAAGAAGTGAAATGTTCCAACGTGACGGCCGTCTTGGTGTGCGGTGCGAGACGGGAGATGTAGTTCATTGAGCGGTTTCACACAAACAAAGTGTTACGACAAATTTTAATTGTTTTGACTTGCATAATTATTTTTTAAGATTGACAAACATCATGTGTGTAATTCGTGGCACAGTTCAAACGGGATCGAGAGATAATCTTTCTCTCTCCATTGACTTCAATACAGACTTTTTCCGAAATAAGGTCCCATGGAGGAAAGGAGGGACTTCGCCTCTCCATAGCCTCCAGGGAACTAACACGGAACATTTACGTGGTCACTTCTCTCTGCAACATTTAGCGTATTGTATTTTATTTGACATATATATATATATATATATATATATATATATATATAACACTTTGTCTGAATTACTAGCACCATAGCACTATTTCATTTATATTCTCCTGTGTGTTTCCTCACCCTCTTGCAGACGAGCAGGCGTACACCAGGTCCGGCTCGATGAGTGAGCTGCACCAGAGCCATCATGTCCTTATAGTTCACCACAGAATCTGCACATTCAAGACACAAATTCACATTCATTCAACCGTGCATGGTATTGATTACATGTCTGTGTGACTGCAGGAGACAGAAAGCCTGAGCTCATTGATCTGCAGGACGGAGTAAGAGCTTCAATGCATTATATACAAGCGGAGATTAATATGGCAGGAGAGTAGACAGCTGGAAAAGCGTCTAAATCTCATAATCCTTTTTACATTTTTTGCACAAAATCAGGTTAAAGTAACTCGTACTGATGGTGCTGTTTTTGTGCCGGACTTTTTAAACCACGTTTTTGGAAAATCGCTGTCACTTTCACCTGTAATGCTTCTGATACTACAATAATGTGGTGTTTAGTCAATTTGGGAAATGTTTGAAAGATACTAGTATACTTCATTTGATAGGATCAAGGCCAAGTCCCCCTAACCATCGTACCTTTGGTATCTTCATCAATGTAACACAAAAAGTACGTAAACATGGAATTTTCTCTGTGTGTTCTTGTGATGTTTAAATAAAAACAGAGCGCAGCGGACCTGTGTGGAGGACCTGGTTGAGGAGACAGCGGATCAGGGTCGGAGTGATGTGAAGTTCAGAGAAGAGCAGCGACAGGCCGGAGTATCCCGCCTCCCTCAGACGCAGACGCTGCTTATTCTTCTCGTAGACGCGGTCGCAGCGCAACATGCGCTCAAACAACTGTGGGGAGTAACAAAAAACCAGTTCAGTAGTTACTGAGATGTTAAAGTACACACATCCTTTACTCAAGTAGAAGTACAGATACTCGTGTTTAAAAATGCTCGGGTAAAAGTAGAGAACTTTGAAATGTACTTAAGTAAAAAGTAGTAGTACTAGCAGCCATATCTGTGGCCGTAACGCACCTTGAAGACGAGTTCTCGGAGTCGGTCTGAGTGCTTGTTGTTGAGCAACAGAGCGTAGCAGGAGTCGGCCTCCGACGGCTCGAAGAGGAGCAGAAAGATCTGATCTCTGGCCGGACTCGTCTGCAGGAGGCTGAGCAACAACTCCAGCATCCCACACAACTGCAACACAACACGTCAGACATTATACTTCAGTAGGAGTAGAAGTACTCAGATCGTGTACTTCAGTAACAGTAGAAGTACTCAGATCGTGTACTTCAGTAAGAGTAGAAGTACTCAGATCTTGCACTTCAGTAGGAGTAGAAGTACTCAGATCGTGTACTTCAGTAGGAGTAGAAGTACTCAGATCGTGTACTTCAGTAGGAGTAGAAGTACTCAGATCGTGTACTTCAGTAAGAGTAGAAGTACTCAGATCGTGTACTTCAGTAGGAGTAGAAGTACTCAGATCGTGTACTTCAGTAGGAGTAGAAGTACTCAGATCGTGTACTTCAGTAAGAGTAGAAGTACTCAGATCGTGTACTTCAGTAGGAGTAGAAGTACTCAGATCGTGTACTTCAGTAGGAGTAGAAGTACTCAGAGTGTAGAGAAAGTATTTAGTGTCCAGGAGGATCAATATAAAGTCCTATTGGAGTATTTAAAGGTCCCCAGGTACACCCGGCCCTTTGAGTAATGCGATGAAATTGAGTTTGACCCCTGCTTTACCTGGTCCTCGTCTCCAATGGCGGCGATGTATCCCAGAATGCTGTGCATCTCCTCCTGAGACATGCCCTTGCTGATGTAATACTTGATGAGTCCGCAGAGAGACGCCCGGATGGTTCGAATGTCATCCTCACTCAGATCACCGTCTCTATGGCTGTTCTTCCTAAGAGCATATTATTGGTAAAGAGACAATACTTCAATATGTTGGACAGGTATGGACTTTGAGGAGTGGAGTCTCACCCGTAATAAAGGCGCATGGTGTCCAAAAGAAACTGAACTCCATATTTCTTTCTGAACAGCTTCCTGTTGTCTTTGATGACGGTGGACATGTACTGGATATGACCTTCACCGAAACAAAGGAGGACAAGTTAGAGCTGGAAACACACACACTTTCTGCTTCACACACACACACTTTCTGCTTCACACACACACACTTTCTGCTTCACACACACACACATTCTGCTTCACACACACACACTTTCTGCTTCACACACACACACTTTCTGCTTCACACACACACACTTTCTGCTTCACACACACACACTTTCTGCTTCACACACACACACTTTCTGCTTCACACACACACACACTTTCTGCTTCACACACACACACTTTCTGCTTCACACACACACACTTTCTGCTTCACACACACCCAGCCCTGAGGAATAAGTCTTCTAAAGTATGGTCTGAATAAATGCCGCACACACACACGCACACACACATCTAACCTACACACACACACACATCTAACCTACACACACACACACACATCTAACCTACACACACACACACACACATCTAACCTACACACACACACATCTAACCTACACACACACACACACATCTAACACACACACACACATCTAACCTACACACACAACAAGGCGATACCGACACACACACACTAGGCACAGCGAACGACACACACACACCACACGCCGAATCCGACACCACACATCAACGAACCGTACATCACACACAAACAGAGAAGCCGACAAACACACACAAGAACCGACCACACACCAGATGAACCGACACACACACACACCAGAGAAACTACAGCACACCACAGAGGCCCCACACACACACCACACACAGAGAACCAGCACACACACACACACACACACACCAACCACCTACACACACACACACACATCACACACACACACACACACCCCACACACTCCACCCATCACAACACAACGACACACACACACACACACACACACAACACACACACACACACACACACACACAAACACACACCACACACACACATCACACCACCACACACACACACACACACACACACACACACACACACACACACACACACACACACACCTATGCGCAGAGGGAAGTCTCCTTTGTTCCAGATGTTGAAGTTGAACAGCAGGTGTGTGTGAAGTTGCAGCAGCAGAGCGTGGTTCTTCTCAAACGTCACCTGTTCGATCAGCAGCTGCATGGCAACCAGAACGCTGACATCCACGTGACCTGCTGGCAGCTAAACACACACACACACACACACGCACACACACACAAATAACTTCACTGGCACACATGCAGAATGATTAAACACAGAAAGGTGGATAAGTGCATTGACTCGGTCTCTTAAAACCTTCTCGTCCACATTTCTCACGCAACAAAGACAGAAATCCCATTGCAGTGAGGAGACACACGTCAGTGGTTTATTTGCACTTCCACTCCTCACAGGGTGCGGTTACTTTCTCAGAGCAGCTACTCTGCCTTTCTTTTAATCAGAGTCTCTGTGGACTCTTTGATATTAATAATAATACATTTTATTTCTATAGCGCTGTTCTTGAACCCAAAGACGCTTTACATTTAGGAGGGAGGGTAGACAAACAAAACAAAGCCAAAAAGCCAGTCAGGAGGAAGTTGATTGAGAGGGGGGGGGGCTTATGGATACAGAGTCGAAGAGGTGGGTTTTGAGGCGGGACTGGAACAGGGTGAGGGACTCAGACTCTTAGAGGTATTGGGGGAGGGAGTTCCAGAGCTTCGGGGCTGCCACAGAGAAGGCTCTGTCCCCGAAGCTCCGGAGTTTGGCCTTGGGGATGGAAAGCAAACCGGCTGAGGTGGATCTGAGGGACCGGGGGGGGTTGGTAGAGGAGGAGGATATTCCCATGGGATAAACAAATACATGCAACAGGGAAGAAAGAGGGTTGAGGTAAAAAGACACAAAGGAAAAGACAAACTAGAGGAGCTATTCATACAACCGACATGAGTATAAAAACAAGAGGCGTGTTTCTTTTCTGCGAGATCTGAGGCAAAATGTGTTAACGGGGAAAATGCTTTTAAATCATCCCTTTAAGTCTTGCATTTTTAACTAGCTTGCATTGTTTTTAGCGCAGGTATGCATTGGATTGAGGTTTCTGGAGTATACCGTCTTCTGTGGTTAACAAGTAATCATAATCAGCATTTCATATTTTGTATTTAAAACTGGTTTGCTGTCAAGAAAAGGGATGGCAATATCATGCAATCAGTGCAAGGACGAAAACGATGCACATGTAGATCTGAAAAGGCTCTACAATGTAACGTCCCAAGGAAATGAAACCGACCTTCTGCAGCAGCGCTCCCACTGTACCGACTCCATGCGAGTGCAGCAGATTCTCCTGGTTGATAAGGTGCCTCTGCAGGAAATGCTTCAGCACCAACAGGAAGGTGGCCACCAGATTCTTCTCCAGGCGGGCCTCTGCAACAACAAATGATAATGCAATGGTTTTATCATTAGTGCTAATGTTTCATAGCTATACTGAGATAACGGTTTCTTTCTTAAACAACACATACAGTATCAAAGACAAAAAACAAACAGGTGTGCAGGTTGTCCATTTTGTTGAACATCCCCCCCCTACAGAATAACACAAGATTAATAAATGATAGACAAACACATGGTGGAAACAACAACAATACATAAAAAGGTCGAGATAAATGTTAGTTATAGTTGACTATAGTACATCTGTTCTAATTCAGTTAACAAAATGATGATGATGAATCCATTAAGCCCCTGTCACACTGTCCCGAAATTGACACCCGATGGAAACACGAATATTGAATTGTGAATTTCGCACGAAGATGGCCCCGAACCACACACGAAGGCAACATTTACATTACATTTAAGACATACAACTGCAACGAAAGTAACACAAACAATTATGTTACAGTACTATGATACTGTACTGATATCTTCAGACTTTGTTCTTTACTTTCTCCGTCGTTATATGTAGAAGATTACGTTTTCTCCGTCATGTTGTTTCCATAGCAACAACAACTTCCTGTCAACTCGCCTTCAAAATAATATATTATATCCTTTTCAGTTTCACAGAACACAAATTGGGTTATTTACATAATATGTGTACATGATTTTGTTGTGCAATAAAACAACCCGATGGACACACGATAAAGGAAATGTTCAAATTCGGCTGTGATCGTAGCAACATCGGGCCATTCGTGAGGGCATCTTAAGCCTTCGTATGACCGCCGGTGGAGTTTCTCAGGCTCCGGCAGCAACTTCGTGAGCGGTGGCAAAATCTTTGGCATGCCATAAAACAGCCGAAGGACCTTGAGAAGGTTCATTTTCGTGTTGAATTCGTGTGTCAATTTTGCCATTCGTAAGGCCATCGTGAGGGCATCGTGTTATCATCGGTGCCATCGGGCATTCGCCCCGATCAGAGTGAGGGCGAATGCCCGATGATAACACGAAGATGACACGATTCGACAAGATGCCCTCACGAGTGCCTTACGAAGTTGCCGCTCACGAAGTTGCTGCCGGAGCCTGAGAAACTCCACTGGCGGTCATACGATGGCGATGCCCTCACGAATGGCCCGATGTTGCTACGATCACAGCCGAATTTGAACATTTCCTTTATCGTGTGTCCATCGGGTGTCAATTTCGGGACAGTGTGACAGGGGCTTTAGGGAAGAGTACACCAGGGTTCATACACTTTCTCACCAATGACTTCTCCATGACCTAATTTATCATGACCAAAGAAAATGACTCTTTCTCAGCGGTTCCACTGAAAATGGTTTATTTGAACATGGAACAGGAAAATAAGGTCTGCATCTGAAACATGTTGAGCCTATCTAAGACGAATCAAATGGTAGGCTGTGACGGAGCGGGCCACAGAGTGACTGACTCCGCCACTGACAGCCGACACACACCAAACATTTCCTGCTCTCTTCCGTCAAATGAACCATGCCATTTCTTATTTATTTTACGTTTGTTAATTATGGGGAATGATTATGTTAAGAGGTGGTTAACCTGTTTATGTTTGGGTCGGATTCTTTTGTTGAAATGTGGTTTTGAGTTGATTGTGTCACCTGCTGATGGCGAGCCTGTGGGAGGGGCTATGGGGTCAAAAGGGACGGTGTTGGTTCCTTGTTTTTTTGGACTGTGTCCCTCGGAAGAATGTTGCAATGAAGGCAACAGCTGGGACGTGTTTGGGAGTTGGTTGCAGAGAAGGCAACCCAGAGCATGTTTACTCTGATGAGTGATGGACGGCCTGTTTTGGACTTTTATTTTGTTGTTTAAGTTGTGCTGGTTCGCTATTTATTTTGTTGCTGCTAAAAATAAAGTTGTTTTGAGCTTAAAACAACCGACTAAGCCATGTTTCGAACGGACAATTACAACCCCGTCACATAGGCTTACTAGCTTCTACTAAAATCTCTCACCAGCAAAACACCTCGACAGTTAAAAGCCATTTTACGTCTCATTACTACACGATACAGTATTTATTATCATTATAGTATTACTATTTCGGCGATTAGATAAAATATAAATTATATTTGATGCAACTTTAGTTACATTTCCATGACTTTTCCAAACTTTGGGAAAAATATTGTTTTCCAGGGCCTGGAATTTGCATGACTTTTCCAGGTTTGTAATAACCCTAAGGACCTTGGTACACAGTTTCAAACTTTCCATGTCCTATCAAATGTACAAGTGGAGCCCACCCAAAGTACACTTCATTTCCTCCATGTGTAGAAACTGCATACGTTCTGTCACCCTGCTATACTGAGATTTGATATATTTATTTAATTGTACACTTTGCATGGTGGAAAGGAGCAGGGAGAAGAAATAACCATAACAAGTTAAATAAAAGCAATATTCTTTCAGTCACAGTAAACATGAAACCAGAACACACTCAAAAAGTTTGTCTAATTACACTTTCTTTATACATTTTCTTAAACAACAGCCCTTTAAATCATTCGGTAAATAATTCCACTTCTTTACGCCAAGTACACATGCTTTAAAGTAGTACGTGCAAACTGATGCTTAAAATCTAATTTCTGGCATTATTCTGTTAAAAAAAATACATATAATGTGCACACCTGAAGCCCTATTGGACGGGAGGATGACCCAATCACCGTCTGCTGGCGTGGTCACATCCGGGGTGATGAAATCGGATCCAGGATCAATGGTTTGTTGATCAGGAGTGATCAGGGACAGCTGCTCCAGAACAGGGATGAGCACCAGCACCCCGCCCACACAGTTGATCATATCCTGCCCGGAAACAACAGCAAACCTCAGTAAGGGGGGGGGGGGCTGTGTTATGAAGCAGGCGAGGAGAAGGGCCCAGGCGCTCGGGGGGGGGGGGGGGGGTGTGTCAGGGAGCGGGGGGGGGGCACAAGATGGGAGCGTTTAAGGGTGCACATAAATTGATATAATTGTATACAGGGGTCCATTTATGTGATAATTACAAAAGTGCTTGTGAGCCAGAGGGGTTCGGCGTCAGGCGGAAGTACTGAGTAAAAAGAGTTTGTGAAAGCAGCTGATGTTCTTGTGAGGAAGCATGTGTTAGCCCAATTTCCTCGGGCTCTTCTAGCTTTGTGGGGTCTGGTAGGCATTAGATCAGGGCTTCTCAAACTGTTTTCAGTAATGTACCCCCTTTGAAACATTTTCTCAGCCAAGTACCCCCTGACCCCCTGGACATTTTTGACAGAAAAAGCCTATATAAATAATTACAATAGAGTGATGTTCCCTCAGTGTGTGATTTATTAACTCCTTAATGCATGCATTACAACAAACTAAGGATATTTTCATCTTTATGCATGAAAAAAAAGATTTTTCCAAGGAGTTTTTCAATTGAATTAATATGTTTAACAAACCAATAAACAAAATGATATATTATTATTAAAAACTATAAATACAATACACCAATGTAACATGTTTATATGAGGACCCTCTTAGTGGTTCTAGGAATATTTTATATAACATTGTGTTTTCCATGTAACTTATTGCACTAAGATTATTTTTGTAATCATGCATGGTCTTTTTTTAAATTAACCTTTTTACCTCACGTACCCCCTGCAGTACCCCAACGTACCCCTAGGGGTCCGCGTACCCCCATTTGAGAATCACTGCCTTAGACACACCAGGGAAGTAAGGGGTAAGGGGATTTTCGATGAAAAACACTTATAATTTCTCGCATCAAACTTAGGTAAGATTTCACACTACCTTATACTCTAGAAAAAAAAAACGGAGGTCTTAATATGGCTCAGACGATTCTCTCCCAAGCAAGGAGTGCTCACGCTTGTCTGTTAAACCCGTGCGCACTCTGAAATACCAGAGGAAAGGAAAGAGAAAAAAGGAACGCCCGGCTCGCTGGGTAACGAGGAGTATGTAATACAAACATTAACTTATGTAAGCGTCGATAAAAGTGCGATCATTGACCCTGAAATAGGAACCAAATGTCAGGAATAGTTCCTTTCCCATCTGGCAAAGGGACTATCGATGAAAACTAGCCTTTTGGCTAATTCGAGTACTTTTACATGTTCTTAATATGTTGATTAATACACTGTCCCTTGTTTTAAATAAATCAATTCAATCTTTTTAGATTAGCTATTATTAATCTGAGGGACTTTCTTCTTGTGTATTTCTAACTTGCGATGTGTCACTCTGTGAAGCACTTTGAGCTGCATGTGTTGTATGAAAAGTACTGTATAAATAAAGCTTTATTATTATATTTAAAATGTGCTGCATATTTCTCCCACCTTTATATCCCAGTTGACCACTTTATTCCCAGTTAGGCGTCCGTGCAGCATGTTGGGAGACAGATCCAGACAGATGGGGTTCCTACACGCCTGTTGACGAAAAGACGATAAGTTAGAGGGATCATTAACCCTAAAAGCAAGAAGGAACTACTTTATACATGTTTTTAGTGATACGGCAAATACAGGACAAGCGCAGTGTCACGAAAACACGAGAGTAAAGAGTTCACGATAAAAGACAAAATACACAAATACCAGAAAGAAAGGGAGTAATACAACATTCATGTGTGTGTGTGTGTGTGTCTGTGTGTCTGTGTTTGTGTGGTGTGTGTGTGTGTGTGTCTGTGTGTGTGTGTGTGAGTGTCTGTGTGTGTGTATGTGTGAGTGTCTGTGTGTGTGTATGTGTGAGTGTGTGAGTGTGTGTCTGTGTGTGTGTGTGTGTCTGTGTGTGAGTGTGGTGTGTGTCTGTGTGTGTGAGTGTTGTGTGTGTGTCGGGTCTGTGTGTCTGTGTGTGTGTGTGTGTGAGTGTATGTGTGTGTCTGTGTGTCTCTGTGTGTGTGTGTCTCTGTGTGTGGTCCTGTGGTGGTTGTGGTGTGTGTCTGTGTGTGTGTTGTCTCGTGTTCCTGTGTGTGTGTGTCTCTGTGTGGTGTCCTGTGTGTCTTCGGTGTGTGGTGTGTGTGTTGTGTGTGTGTCCGGTGTGTGTGTGGTGTGTCCTGTGTGGGGTGTGTCTGGTGTGTGTGTGGTGTCTGTGTGTGTGGAGTTGTCTGTGTGGTTTGTGTGTGTGGTCTGGTGTGTGGGTGAGTGTCTGTGTGTGTCTCTGGTGTGGTGTCTGTGTGTCTGTGTGTGGTGTGTCTGTGTGTGAGGTGTGTGTGTGTGTGTGTCTGTGTGTCTCTGTGTGTGTGGGTGTCTGGGTGTCTCTGTGTGTGTGTGTGTGCTGTGTGTGTGTCTGGTATGTCTCGTGTGTCTCTGTGTGGTGTGTGTGTGTGTGTGGTGTGTGTGTGTGTGTGTGTGTGTGTGTGTGTGGGTGTGTGTGTGTGTGTGTGTGTGTCTGTGTGTGTCAACATGTAAAAGGATGCTTCTACTCGTGGACGGGAGGCTCGTGACAGCATGTGGTGTGAACATACATTTACATTTGTACACGGCTAAACTGTGAATAATGCATCTCAGGTGATCTCAGTGTGAGCAATGACCTTGGGCGAGTAGTGCAGCAGCAGTTTGGTGGAGAGGTCGCCGAGTTCTGACTCCTGGGTTTTGAAAGGAGAGATGCAGTTTGGACCTGTGCAGAAGAGAGGATGAGAGAAGAAGAAAAATATATTTGTCGTTGAATACTCGATTCTGATTGGTCAATTTCATGGGTTGGTATTACTCGAGAACACAATAATGACCTTGCTGCACCCTTATTAAATACTCTCCAGGACGCCAAATTCATGTGTGTGTGTGTGTGTGTGTGTGTGTGTGTGTGTGTGTGTTTATCTGTGTGCACATGTGTACGATAGGGGCAGACATAGATGTTTGATGATATTGTGATCACCTGTGAATGCCAAAAAAAAACACATTGCAGGTTCAAACATCATGAGCGGTGAAAGTAAAAGGCCTGAAGCCGTGAATAATCACCCCTACACACACACACACACTCTCTCACCTTCACCCTCACATCCACATTGAAAGTCTGTAGGTAATGAAGAACATCCTCTAACAGCAGGACAAGCACTTTTAATACTCCCTCCCCTCACTTAGGAGGATCAAGCTGCACCCTTATTAAATACCGTATTTACTTCTTACATGTTGAACCCAAATACCTGTACTTTCTACTTCTCACATGTTGAACCCAAATACCTGTACTCTCTACTTCTTACATGTTGAACTCAAATACCTGTACTTTCTACTTCTTACATGTTGAACACAAATACCTGTACTTTCTACTTCTTACATGTTGAACTCTAATACCTGTACTTTCTACTTCTTACATGTTGAACACAAATACCTGTACTCTCTACTTCTTACATGTTGAACTCAAATACCTGTACTTTCTACTTCTTACATGTTGAACTCAAATACCTGTACTTTCTACTTCTTACATGTTGAACACAAATACCTGTACTTTCTACTTCTTACATGTTGAACTCAAATACCTGTACTTTCTACTTCTTACATGTTGAACTCAAATACCTGTACTTTCTACTTCTCACATGTTGAACTCAAATACCTGTACTCTCTACTTCTTACATGTTGAACACAAATACCTGTACTTTCTACTTCTTACATGTTGAACTCAAATACCTGTACTTTCTACTTCTTACATGTTGAACCCAAATACCTGTACTTTCTACTTCTTACATGTTGAACCCAAATACCTGTACTTTCTACTTCTTACATGTTGAACTCAAATACCTGTACTCTCTACTTCTTACATGTTGAACACAAATACCTGTACTTTCTACTTCTTACATGTTGAACACAAATACCTGTACTTTCTACTTCTTACATGTTGAACACAAATACCTGTACTTTCTACTTCTCTCATGTTGAACACAAATACCTGTACTTTCTACTTCTTACATGTTGAACTCAAATACCTGTACTTTCTACTTCTCTCATTTCCCAAACAGCTGGTTCCTTTAGTCTGAATGTGTGTTTGATGCGTGATCATTATTCTTTAGAGTCATTGCGTGCCTATTGATTTGAACACGATCCGTGTATCCATCATTTCCTGGTCTTCTCTAAAGAAGAGGGACCAATGGAAACGTTGTCATGTTGCCGTTGTTCAGCATGGAAACATTCATTAGCTAACAATGACATTATTGTTCTATTAATATAAAGGGAGGTCAGGTACTCTTTAAAGCAGCTGCTAGTTATGGGTACTTTTTACTGAAGTACACTTCAAAGTTCTTTACTTTTACTTTGGTAAAAGTAGAAGTACTGACTAAACTTCTTTACTCGAGTATTTTTAAACACGAGTATCTGTACTTCTACTTGAGTAAAGGATGTGTGTACTTCTACCTGAGTAAAGGATGTGTGTACTTCTACTTGAGTAAAGGATGTGTGTACTTCTGAGTAAAGGATGTGTGTACTTTCGCCCCTCCCTCACCTGCACTACAGATGGCTTTCACGTGGCTCGCCTGCAGGGGTTCGTGGAACACCATGACGCTCCCCAGTTGTCCCTGCAGAGAGGTGGGACTCCCCCACTCGCTGTCCTGCGTCCCTGCAGAGATCAGCTTGGTGACGGACTCAGGCTTTCCTCCCAGCAGCCCCCCCCATGTCTGAGGAGACAAGATGGCGCCCAGCGAGGAGCGAGTGGTGGGGGTGGAGGCGGAGGAGAAGGGAGGGTCTGGGATCTGTGAGGGAGGAGGAGTGGTGGTCCGATGTCCCGCCGAGCCGATGCAGCAGGAGATGAACGGCTGAGGAGAACGGGGTGAACATGGTATTCATTTTGCACAATGTTGTCACAAGCATTGCAAGGAGCATTTCAGACTTCATCTGACCATTAAAGTATTATCGTATTATCTGTTCTCATAGAAAGTGTGAAGGAAATGTCTCACCTCTGTCATGGTGGGATATTTGAGGGGGGCAGACAGTTTCTGCTGTCCATCCACATAAATGTAGACCAGACTCTGTCCAAAAGGCCTCTTCCCCGGTACGTGCACCACCCCGATGCTGTGCTGTAGACAGAAAGGCAGAAGGAATATCCTTCCTTTAATCAGTCTGCAAGACGTTTGTAATCTTGTAAATATAGGGTCCAATCTGTGTTGCCAGATAGAAACAGGCAATCATCCACATTTCCACATTTCAGTGGCACTACCAGTTAGGTAAATATATGTCTGAGGTCGTTGAAGCGGACTCACCCAGAGGGAGTCACAGAAGCAGTAGTCGGGCAGCATGACGGTGACGTACTCCTTCTTGGTGCAAACGGCCACCACCAACACACCCTCTGAGCTGATGAAGGCCTCGAACCCCGTCCCTCCGGGGGTGAAAAAGCTGTACAACACAGGAGAAACGTTTGCATGTGACGAACAGAACATGAGGGGAATCTTACTTTACACCTGAACTTTTGTACTTGCACTATTTTAACTATTGTGTCTGTGTTATTGTGTCTGTGTTATTGTGTCTGTGTTCTTGTGTTGCGCTGTTGGAGGAGCCTGTGACACTGTATGTACACATGGCATAAAAGCCTTTGGATCTTGAATCTGCTGCTCACCTGTACAGCTGCTTCCTCTTGTCCTTGCTCATTGGTCCCAGCTGGTCCTGATCCAACGACAGCCAGGCGATGAAGCTGAACGCGACACCGGGCCATCGCTGCACCGTCGGAACCACGATGCCCGCCATGCTGGGCGACAAATCAAAATACTGCATGGCACTCTCCAGGCCCTGCTTCCTCACCATGGCCAGCAGCGATCTGAGAGCAGGACCCACATACGGGTGCGCTTTATTGGACTCGTGAGGTCTGAGGAGGCGTAGCAGTCCCAGGAGTTCTTTGGCGCTCAAAGACTGGGAACCCAACGAACCCACGAGCACAAAAAGACTCTCGGCGCAGGATCGGTTTAGTCGCTGATGGCTTTCCAATCCAGAAAGCGCTCGCATCACCATGGCGGCGTTTACACACGTGGCGCGGGTTTGACGGTTCAAACAGCTGAGGCGCCGCAGCCAATCGGACGTGAAGAGCTGCTGCTCCGAGGAATCGAGCTCAGGGAGCCACTGGACCAGCAGGAGGAGAGGATCCACGTTACTGATGCCCAGCAGCCCCACGGAGGTGTGCTCCCCCTCCACCGCCTGCACAGAAACACACCAACAGTTACGTTTCAAGGACACCCAAGTACATTTCAATACATTCTCTAAGAGGTTAAATGCTAAACAAAGACACCAAAACAATTCATAATAATACATTTTATTTAAGGGCGCACAAAAGGGCTGTGTTTTCAGACACTTTGAGAGTCGACTGGCACAGGGGACACATATTTATGTATAAAAGACATCAAAAAGTGCATTTTGCGTGATAGGAGACCTTTGAGGAGGCCTTGCAAGCCACCCAAGGACACCGTACAATTCAATACATAATTTAAGAGATTAAGATTATTTAAGGGCGCCTTTCACGAAACCCCTAAGTACAAATCAATAAATACTCTAAGAGGTTAAAGGCAACCAATGATGGTTTAAAAAAACGGTGAGCAAGTGTGCGTCATATGAGAGGCCCCGCCTTACATTTTAAGACCGCGGAATCTACACATGTGCAGCCTCGAAATGTCTCCAAACGAAGTACGCCGGGCTCGGTAGAATTCCAAGTATGCTGGACATTGGAACAGTCCTTCGGCGGCACTCGATGACGTAGCATGCTTGAAATAGTGGCTCTGGAGCAGCTTTACTCGAGATGGAGAAACACCCTGAAACTCCCCGTCTCTCACCATGTTCATCAGCTCTTTGAGGAGGTGTTGCGACGGCTGGCCCAGAGAGGTGAGCACTTCGTACAGGTGATTGTAACCGATCCTCTCCTTGAACACCTCCTGCAGAAAGTAAAGAATACATAAACTCGATTAAACGGCATCTGAATGCAGACAATAACCTCATTGTTAGTTAACAGGCAAAAGAACGTTGTTTTTGTTAATTGCAGTCACGTTAGTCAAAAGGAGAGGATGCATTTCAAGCTACCTGCTCTTTTCTACCTGTCTGTGAGTCCGTTACCTTTGCAGCTGGTGATTTGTGCATCACTGTCGTGAGGGCTTTGATTGTTGCTACAGCGAGGGAGTCGAGTCGCCCTTGAAACACCTGAAGAAAAAACCACACTTGTCAATAACTAAATCCATGTATACCTTGCAGAGTACGTTGATTGGACACAAATCTCCTCTCATATGCTCCAGATGAATGTTGCATGCAAACAAGTCAAAGCCACATTCATGGTGAAATGTTTGCAATGATGAAAGGAACTTATTTGGGGGATAAAAGGGAGACCTGAGTAGATTTCTTGGAGTTTGATTAAATTAGTGTGTGTGTAAAAGTGAGTAAAATCACCGAAAGACTGCAGTAGATGTTACAGTAAACAAAAGGTGTCTTAACGAAAATAACAAGCCTTTTGATTGCTGTCATTATTAACGATAGATAAAGTACACACACAGAAAATAGACTTATTTCCCCTCAAACATCCACAAAAAAAGCATGCAACCCATCAAACACAAGCCAAATGATAAATCAACACATCTCCATCCAGCTCTGTCCTGCTCATGTCTCTGAACTGCTTTTCCTTTAGATTGAACTGAGAGCCTTGGACCAGCTGGAGAGGGACTGTGGTCAAAACAATCAAACACTTAAGTCTTCACCACGGAGTCCAGGTGACTCTGTGAGAACACACACCAACATGATAGCATTACCCACAGTACGCCGCAGAAAACCAGGACAATGGGGAGGGGGTGAGGGATGCTTGAGGAAAACCCAAAATGTCAATTAAATCAAAATTACATGACATGTGAAAGAGGCAGAGTGGTCACTCCACAGCAAGAAGGCAACGTTGCAGTCATTTGGGAAAGTGGGTCGATTCTGGTTTTGGAATTTCGTAGCTATTTTCATCTGGATAATTTTTCCACGACATCTGATTTTATACAAGAGTTAAATAGATGATAATACTATGGTTACTTAGCTTAGTCAAACTACATCTCGAAGACTCGGAGGAATATTTGACTCGATATCTTGTTTTTAGAATAGGCAAAAGTACCATAATTATTAAGTGATATTTTCCCCTAAGGCTGCACGGGATAGGAGTCAGAAGGGCATGCCTGAAAAAGGGAGATTTCTGATGGGTATTTGTCAAACCCACTTCCATTCACACATCTTAAAGTGAAGTGAGGGACAACAGGAAATATTTTGAGGGGCATATTTACTGTAGCTTGCAAAAAACTGAATTCTACATCCTGGGAGTTAAAGTGTTATTTTAAATAATTAGAGATGTAATTAAATGATTCTGACACAAACAACCGGTCTGATGATTCAGCGAGTTTTACAGTGAGCCAATAGAGCGGTGCAGGGATGACGTGTTGACCCGGAAGGAAGCGGCTGGTTCCCTCGACAAAAAAGCAACGGGATTTCTCCATAGGATTTAGGAAAATAGCTCAAAATACGATCTGTGGAAAACAAACCGGTGATGAATTCTGTTCAGCCGGATAATCTCCACATGTCTACTTTTATAATGTTCGAAACATAAATCTACTGGCCAGAAGCAAAACGCTAACATTGTGCTATAAAGGAACTACAGCAGGGTCGCTGCTTCAACGTCACGCCGACTTCAGATCCATATTCAAACATACAGACTCTAAATCAGGGGTGTCTAACTCAATTTCATTGCGGGCCCACATTCGCATAAAGGTTGCACTCAAAGGGCCGGTTATAACGATATAAATATGTAATATATATTTAAAGTAATGTATTATATTACATTATTGCCTCTGAATTGGATTATTATTGGATAGGATAATAACTTCATAATTAACTACGTCTGAAAGCAGAAGTCTCTTCAGTGCGCATGTCACAAAACGAGATGCATTGTGGGACATGTAGTTTATGGGCAACCTGCTTCTGTAAAGTGGCATGTAACCGTATAATAAACGTATTATATTCTTTGCAAGCTCTTGCGGGGCCACATAAAATGAAGTCGCGGGCCGGATTTGGCCCCCGGGCCTTGAGTTTGAGACCCCTGCTCTAAATGGAACGAGTTGAAGCGTTTGTTTGAACAGTCTGCAGGAGGCAGGGACTTGCTTTCAGGCAGAACAGAAACTAACTTAGAGGAGTGTTCACGTGTTCGGCGTAATGACGTACGACGTCCTCCGCGACTTCTGTAGTCCTATTCAGCCACTTGGTAACAACCATAGTTTCTCAGACACGTAAACTCTTCAGAAATCACAGTGGGGTCACTGCTGATGATTTAATGTAGAACAAAACGTGATCCGTCTCTTCAATGTGTCTCAACCACAGACCTTATTTCAGCTAGTTTCCTAATTCCTATGGAGAGATCCCATTGGCTCTGAGACGAGGGGACAGGAAGTGGTGACATGCTGACTCACTTCCTGGTTGTAGGACTCGTCACTGCACCGCTCTATTACAAATGATTATAAGAGGCAAAGCAGGGTCTTGCTGTGGATTGGCCACATGGCTCTGAAGGTGGATGATGGGGGGGGGGGGGGGGGGTTAGGTGAGGAGGGTCTTTTTCCCGGCAGTACCTGAGTGTCCCTCTCTCCTGTCTGTAACCTGTTGTTGGTTATATCTTTCTGGTCCTTGTCTGCCGCCGTGCACCTAGCATTAACCAGCTGACACACACAAACATGTCAGCACAGCAGGGGGTTCATAGAAAGAGAAACAAGGGGGGAGTGGTGCAAGGTGGGAAGGGAGGGGAGGGGGAGATGGTGTAAGTGTGGGAGAGTTGAAAGGTTAAAAGCCATGACCCTCAGCAGAGGTCACTGTGTTGGAGGTCAACATGCGCGGTGGGCAAAATGCTCCTCCAAGATAAAACGAATGTATTCGCCATCTGTTTTTAACTATATTGTATTATGTTCTAACTACATCTCCTACTTCATAGTCTACCTGAATGTGTACTTGAGTTAAATTGTAATCATTGTTGCCTTTGAGTATATGGTCTCGTCATGCTGCTTCCCTGATGGCTTCCACAGGATTGTAGCTGACATCCTCGTGGATTCATCTTCCTATTATACACACATGCATTTCCTAACATTCGGTCTATATGCTGTAAAATGTATTATCTCTTCGATTTACACACGGCATCTATTGCACGTCTGTCCGTCCTGGGAGAGGGATCCCTCCTCTGTTGCTCTCCCTGAGGTTTCTCTCATGTTCCCTTTAAACTGTGGGTTTTCTCTGGAAGTGTTTCCTTGTACGATGTGAGGGTCTAAGGACAGAGGGTCTGAGGACAGAGGGTCTAAGGACAGAGGGTCTGAGGACAGAGGGTCTGAGGACAGAGGGTCTGAGGACAGAGGGTCTAAGGACAGAAGGTCTGAGGATAGAGGGTCTAAGGACAGAGGGTCTAAGGACAGAGGGTCTGAGGACAGAGGGTCTAAGGATAGAGGGTCTAAGGACAGAGGGTCTAAGGACAGAGGGTCTGAGGACAGAGGGTCTAAGGACAGAGGGTCTAAGGACAGAGGGTCTAAGGACAGAGGGTCTGAGGACAGAGGGTCTGAGGACAGAGGGTCTGAGGACAGAGGGTCTGAGGACAGAGGGTCTGAGGACAGAGGGTCTGAGGACAGAGGGTCTGAGGACAGAGGGTCTGAGGACAGAGGGTCTGAGGATAGAGGGTCTAAGGACAGAGGGTCTAAGGACAGAGGGTCTGAGGACAGAGGGTCTAAGGACAGAGGGTCTAAGGACAGAGGGTCTAAGGACAGAGGGTCTGAGGACAGAGGGACTAAGGATAGAGGGTCTAAGGACAGAGGGTCTAAGGACAGAGGGTCTGAGGACAGAGGGTCTGAGGACAGAGGGTCTAAGGATAGAGGGTGTCGTTTTTCTCATACTGATATTCTGAACAATCTGTGTTGTTGTATTTGCTGTAAAGTGTCTGTAGGCTATTTTTATTTTATGTTCAGCACTTTGGCTCCACCAAACATCGTTTATAAATGTGCTATATAAATAAAACTTGATTTGATTTGATATATTAGTGTTCTATTTTATTTGCTGTAACAACAAAAATCTTCGACAAAATATGTCTTTCGTAAAAAAACGTTGGTGCTTTTTTCCCTTTATCTATAGAATGACAGTCAAGTGCAAACAAGCGGCAAGTTGTGGTGAACTACTGCACCGCGAGTCCTTGTATCACAATACAAATGTACTTAACGACATAAATACAGACTGCAGGGGAGATGAAATACTCCAACTACAAACATCCTTCTGGTCTTGTTTCAGAAACAAGATGTAATAATAACGTTCCCTTTGACCCAGGTCTGGAGCAGAAGCATTATATCAAACGGCAGATCCAGCCACTCTCAATCCTCAGGTTATATTTAGATAAAAGCACCGTGCTGTTACCTTGCTGTTCTGCAGAAGGCGTGCCAGATGCTCAAAGCAGTTACTATTGAGGAAGATGGCTTGAAGAACGGGTCTGTCTGAACACAGGAACATCTCCCTGATGGTGTCTGGGAGAACAAGAGGAGAATAAGTCACGTTTAAGATAAGATGGAACTTTGTTCAACCCTGTGGAAAATCAGGCGTTAAAAGCAGCGTTCAGTTATTATGCAGTTACCAACTCCCAGAAACCTGCAGGTCCGCTGCAACTCTGACTACTTTCAAATCCAGCAAGAAGACTTTTCTTTTTGCCGCTGCTTTTAATTGAACTATTCACATCTTAGACGGCACTGTAACTTTTAACGTTTTCTTTTAAATGTTTATTTTATTAGCTTTTCTTTTTAATGACTGATTTTAAATGCCATTTTCTTAATGTCTTTAGTTTCTTGTAAAGCACTTTGAATTGCCTTGTGTTGAAAGGTGCTATATAAATAAACCTAACAAATTTAAAAATAGCGGCAACATGAAAAACAGGTACAAATAAAAATACAAAAAAAAAGTGATAAGGTGATAAAGTAACAATTGAAACAAGATTAAAGTCTTGTAAAAACTGTGCAGGTTTTATGTAAACAGTCTAGGGCTGAACGATGAATCGATTTTAAATGATGCGATTATCAAATGTGATTTTTTTTCATCCACACCAATCAGAAGTGCTGTGCTCCACATGTACCAGCCTTTGTTAACCAATCAGAAGTGGCCCATGATAGCAGGTGATAGACAGATTGATCCAATCACCTGCCAAGTATCTTTGAAAGTGCCTGCCCTTTCCAGATGGCTTCCAATGGAGCTCTCGATGCTTTCTGAGTCAGGTTAGTAATGCTCCATCACGTGTTTCTATCACAGGGTGAGTCTGAAACTGAAGCTCGACTTTAAAGCAACTCAACGGAAGTTTCATGTACGTTTAGTTCTTTCACTCGTAGCTCGGGCTGCGGGGGCGCTAGAGACGGGAGCACGTTGATGCGACCTTCCTAGCCGGAGACATGGCCGCATTTTACAATAAACTTCCGTTGGGTCGCTTAAAAACAAATATCACAAATCGAATATCTGTCAGAAAAATCGCAATTAGATTAATTCCCAAAATCGTGCAGCCCGGTTCTGGGTACTATTAAAGGGTTACAGGTTTTTTTTTTACTTGACCTTTCTGCACGGAAATCATTAACTACATACAGCAGCTGGAAATCTCATGTGAGTGTTGCTTAAAGGTCTGTATTTTCTATGGAGCCCCTACCCTGATCCACCTCCACTGGCTCCCAGTCAAGCACCGTATCACCTATAAACTCCTTCTTCTGACTTACAAATCCCTCCATGCCCTCGCCCCCCAATACCTGTCTGACCTTCTCCGCTACCACACTCCATCCCGGAAGCTAAGATCATCTGGACAGGATCTCCTCTCCACCCCCCGCACCAGGTTGCGGACTTTTGGTGACAGAACCTTCAGTGTGGCATCCCCCACCCTCTGGAACTCTCTCCCCCCCCGAAATCCGCAGCGCCCCAACCCTGGACATTTTCAAGAAAGCCCTCAAAACGCACCTTTTTACCAAGGCTTTCGCCACTGTATAGTTAGGTTTATTTTTCCGCTACTTCCCCCCCCCACCCCCTTAACCTGTCTGCCTTTTTTCCCCTACTCCCCCCCCCCCCCCCCACCCGACTTGTAAAGCGACCTTGGGTTTCCTGAAAGGCGCTATAAAAATATTATATATTATTATTTATTATTATTACCCAGCATGTTAACTTGCAGCGCCACGAATCTGCTCTCCCAGTGCCGTCCGAGTGTCGGGACTCGAGCCCTCGCTTGCTGTTTCTGCTGCTGCTGTTGTTGTTGTTGTTGTTGTTGTTGTTGAGAAGCAACGATGGCCGCCGGGTCCGAGTTCAGCAGCTTGAAGTAGTTTTCCAGCACCGAGGCGATCTCCACCTGCCTCTGGTCGGAGCTGGCGGCCAGGAGACGCTGAACTACTTCTCGAAGGCAGGCTAGAGTCAGAAGAGCCTTTCTGTCGGGGGCTTCGCTGTCCCAGTCCTCTCCTTCCTCTGAAGAGCAGCTGCCCATCGAGCAGTCAGACAAAACACGCATCAACACCTCCATGGTGGCCGGAGAGATGGCCAGCAGAGCGTTCCTCTGAGGCAAAGGAAGGAGGAGAGGTATGGGGGTTAGTAAGAGGAGGACTCTATATATAACACTACAGATAACCAAGGAGAAATGTGACGTCTCGGCTCCTGGACGTCTGCTTTCTTTAACCCAATCACGATACAATATTCTCTCTCTTTAAGGACGGTGATCTATTGACTGAAGAGTTTGAACAGGAAAATGATTTTCTTTATCAAAACAAACTGGTTCTGTCCAAAACACACATAGGTTGGATGTTATCTTTGGTCACTAACTAACACACGCATCAACGCCTCCATGGTGGCCGGAGAGATGGCCAGCAGAGCGTTCCTCTGGAGGCCAAGGAAGGAGGAAAGGGGAAAGTAAGAGGAGGACACTAAAATAGCACCTCAGAAATCCAATAAGGGCAGCACGATGTGAGGAAAACAGCACACAGTACACTTTGTGATCTTTAATGCAAATCGGTTAACACCCACCTATAGGTCGTGAACTTTAATGCAAAAATATTTGACTGTCTGTGTCTCTTCAAACACACCCAGAGAGACGATAAGGTGTGTGTAAGGTATGTGTGTGTTATCATGAAATCAGGCCAGTGACGTCTACCTAAAACCTCCAGGTGGTCCACGTTTACCTGATCACCAGCTACTATGGCTCCAAACAGGTGCAGCAGGCAGCATTTCAGACTCTCCTTCAGGTGCTCACTCTCCTGGAAGCACTCTGAAAACACACACACACACACACACACACACACACACACACACACACACACACACACACACACACACACACACACACACACACACACACACACACACACACACACACACACACACACACACACACACACACACACACACACACACACACACACACACACACACACACACACACACACACACACACACACACACACACACACACACACCACACACACACACCACACACACACACACACACACACACACACACACACACAGCAGCCGCCCACACGACACAGGACAGAAGGAGGTATTTGTTTAAAACGTTCACTATCGGAGAGGAGAGTAAATAATAAGAGGAGGATACACTAGAGGTTAGGAGAGGAAACAAGAACAGGAGAGTAAATAAGGAGGATACACTAGAGGTTAGGAGAGGAAACAAGAACAGGAGAGTTAATAAGGAGGATACACTAGAGGTTAGGAGAGGAAACAAGAACAGGAGAGTTAATAAGGAGGATACACTAGAGGTTAGGAGAGGAAACAAGAACACGAGAGTAAATAATAAGAGGAGGATACACTAGAGGTTAGGAGAGCTAACAAGAACAGGAGAGTAAATAAGGAGGATACACAAGAGGTTAGGAGAGGAAACAAGAACAGGAGAGTAAATAAGGAGGATACACTAGAGGTTAGGAGAGGAAACAAGAACAGGAGAGTAAATAAGGAGGATACACAAGAGGTTAGGAGAGGAAACAAGAACAGGAGAGTAAATAAGGAGGATACACTAGAGGTTAGGAGAGGAAACAAGAACAGGAGAGTAAATAAGGAGGATACACTAGAGGTTAGGAGAGGAAACAAGAACAGGAGAGTTAATAAGGAGGATACACTAGAGGTTAGGAGAGGAAACAAGAACAGGAGAGTTAATAAGGAGGATACACTAGGTTAGGAGAGGAAACAAGAACAGGAGAGTTAATAAGGAGGATACACTAGGTTAGGAGAGGAAACAAGAACAGAGGCCTGTACTACGAAGCCGGTTCAACCTAACCTGGATATGTTTCAGTTAGCCGGTTGGCCTAATCCAAAACATACGCGCTCTCGCTAAGCGGTCCTACGACGCTGGTTATCAAGTGGATCGCTCAAGCCAGCCGTGTCCTATCTAGTTAGGTGTTCACATGAGAGGGGTGGTATCTGGAGCATTCGACCAATCACAGACATGGAGAAGCGTACTGACAGCGCAGCGTCATACTTCCTGAATGAAAAGTCAACTATAATATTAGACATATGAAGAAGTTAAACTTTAAACATCCATGACTCAAACACTTGATCCAGGATCAAAGCCACAGAGCTGCACCTGCAAGGTGAACACAGCTGGGAACAGAACAAGTGTTTGAATGCGTACATTAACAGGTTTATGATATCACTGCCCGTCTAAGACACCATCTGACTTTCATTACATTTGACTCCAGTGTTTCCTCAACTTAATGTGTTGCTTAAAATAATCCTTCTGCATCCAGTCTGTGACGCTGTGAGTGTTGCACGGCCAGATACGGCTCAGCTGACTCAGATAAGGAGATATATGATACATTATGAAGTGATATGGACTGTACTTAATGTGACTCTGATCCGGTTACTTATGTTGTGGCAGATATTTCAGTAAGCTTTCTTAACGCTAATGTTATAATATTCAGATTGCTCTGAAGATGGAGGTGATATTCTATTCATGTTCACGTTCACTCAGTCGCTGATTTTTGCCGGCCGTCTTTCCTGCAACGGCAGCTTTTCTGTATTTCCTTTCTCCTGTAATATGACTTGATCGCTTTAAACTCCGCACACTGAGCACTGATTGGTCAGCAGGCAGTGCTTTCACTGAGTTGATCTCTTAGCCTGCAACCTAACCTGGTCCCGACCAGGTTAGCCGCTAAGCATAAGTTACCATGGAGATCTAGCCTGCTAAAAAGAGAACCAGCTTCGTAGGACCGGAAACCCCGAGTTAACCTGAAGTTAGCCGCTAAGAGAACATCCGGCTTCGTAGTATACCCCCCAGGAGAGTAAATAAGGGAAGGAACAGAGAGAAGAGGCGACAACAAGTGGAGCAAAAACAAGGAGAAAAGAGAAGATTAACAGATAGGAAACAAGGAAATTAGATGAGGACACAAGCAGAGGAGAGGATAGTAAAGAAGGGGACACAAAAGTAGACGAGTGGAGAGGAACGAGGAGAGGATTGGAGAGGAACAAGGAGAGGATTGGAGAGGAACGAGGAGAGGAGTGGAGAGGAACAAGGAGAGGAGTGGAGAGGAACAAGGAGAGGATTGGAGAGGAACGAGGAGAGGAGTGGAGAGGAACGAGGAGAGGAGTGGAGAGGAACAAGGAGAGGAGTGGAGAGAAACAAGGAGAGGATTGGAGAGGAACGAGGAGAGGATTGGAGAGGAACGAGGAGAGGAGTGGAGAGGAACAAGGAGAGGAGTGGAGAGGAACAAGGAGAGGATTGGAGAGGAACGAGGAGAGGATTGGAGAGGAACAAGGAGAGGAGATCGTTTGTTTCCTAATCCAAACCCAACGAGGAAATGCAAATACTAACCAAACACGGCAAGCTCTATCATAACAGTGTTTGCAAATAATGTAACTGTCACGCGGAACACGTATGCTGTTGTATAAAAGCAGTAGACATTGGTGTAGACAGTAACTAGATTTACTCAAGTACAATTCTGAGGGATTTGTACTTTCAATTTCTTGCTAATTTGTATTTTTACTCCACTACAATTCAGAGGTAAATCGAGTATTCCTACACTCTGGTACTTAGAGTTTGATTTGAGTACTTCTTCCACCACTAATCGTTGAAGATTTCTCTCCAGAATCCTACCGACACCGTGTGAAAGCGAGAGTGAGAAGCAGAACTACAAACGGGGAACTTACGGTAAAAGAAAGGAACGAACTCCACAGTGAGCGGCGCTGCTTTGTACTTCTGTCTGCTCCGCTCTACTGTGCCCAGCTGCTGCCTGCGGGGGGAAACACGGCTTAGAGAAGACACCAAACCAAGATGAACAACACCTCGTTGTTGTTGTTGTTGTGGTGGTTGTTGTTGTGGTGCAGGACGTTGTTACCCGCAGGTTCGATGCCTCCAGTTTCGATACGGGTCGTAGAGGCTCTCGCAGAACGCCAGCGCGTGACGGACAAACTCCTCCGCCTGGCTCTGGTCGGCCATCTCCTTCTCCTTCGTCTTGCTCTTCAGCTGCAACCAACACACACACACACACACACATTTACTACAGTATTATCTACCCGAGAGGGCACAAGTACACACATCCTTCACTCAAGTAGAAGTACACATACTCATGTGTCAAGATACTTGGGTAAAAGAAGTAGAAGTACAGATACTCGTGTTTAAACTCAAGTGAAAGTAGAAGTACTGACTAAACTTCTTTACTCAAGTCAAAGTAAAGAACTTTGAAATGTACTTCAGTAAAAAGTACCCAGAACTAGCAGCTGCTTTAAAGAGTACCTGACCTCCCTTTATATTAATAGAACAATAATGTCATTGTTAGCTAATGAATGTTTCCATGCTGAACAACGGCAACATGACAACGTTTCCATTGGTCCCTCTTCTTTAGAGAAGACCAGGAAATGATGGATACACGGATCGTGTTCAAATCAATAGGCACGCAATGACTCTAAAGAATAATGATCACGCATCAAACACACATTCAGACTAAAGGAACCAGCTGTTTGGGAAATGAGAGAAGTAGAAAGTACAGGTATTTGAGTTCAACATGTGAGAAGTAGAAAGTACAAGTATTTGAGTTCAACATGTAAGAAGTAGAAAGTACAGGTATTTGGGTTCAACATGTAAGAAGTAGAAAGTACAGGTATTTGAGTTCAACATGTAAGAAGTAGAAAGTACAGGTATTTGGGTTCAACATGTAAGAAGTAGAAAGTACAGGTATTTGGGTTCAACATGTAAGAAGTAGAAAGTATGGTATTTGGGTTCAACATGTAAGAAGTAGAAAGTACAGGTATTTGAGTTCAACATGTGAGAAGTAGAAAGTACAGGTATTTGAGTTCAACATGTAAGAAGTAGAAAGTACAGGTATTTGAGTTCAACATGTAAGAAGTAGAAAGTACAGGTATTTGTGTTCAACATGTAAGAAGTAGAAAGTACAGGTATTTGAGTTCAACATGTGAGAAGTAGAAAGTACAGTTATTTGGGTTCAACATGTAAGAAGTAGAAAGTACAGGTATTTGAGTTCAACATGTAAGAAGTAGAAAGTACAGGTATTTGGGTTCAACATGTAAGAAGTAGAAAGTACAGGTATTTGGGTTCAACATGTAAGAAGTAGAAAGTATGGTATTTGGGTTCAACATGTAAGAAGTAGAAAGTACAGGTATTTGTGTTCAACATGTAAGAAGTAGAAAGTACAGGTATTTGAGTTCAACATGTAAGAAGTAGAAAGTACAGGTATTTGGGTTCAACATGTAAGAAGTAGAAAGTACAGGTATTTGAGTTCAACATGTAAGAAGTAGAAAGTACAGGTATTTGGGTTCAACATGTAAGAAGTAGAAAGTACAGGTATTTGGGTTCAACATGTAAGAAGTAGAAAGTATGGTATTTGGGTTCAACATGTAAGAAGTAGAAAGTACAGGTATTTGAGTTCAACATGTGAGAAGTAGAAAGTACAGGTATTTGAGTTCAACATGTAAGAAGTAGAAAGTACAGGTATTTGAGTTCAACATGTAAGAAGTAGAAAGTACAGGTATTTGAGTTCAACATGTGAGAAGTAGAAAGTACAGGTATTTGAGTTCAACATGTGAGAAGTAGAAAGTACAGGTATTTGGGTTCAACATGTAAGAAGTAGAAAGTACAGGTATTTGGGTTCAACATGTAAGAAGTAGAAAGTACAGGTATTTGAGTTCAACATGTTAGAAGTAGAAAGTACAGGTATTTGAGTTCAACATGTGAGAAGTAGAAAGTACAGGTATTTGAGTTCAACATGTAAGAAGTAGAAAGTATGGTATTTGGGTTCAACATGTGAGAAGTAGAAAGTACAGGTATTTGAGTTCAACATGTAAGAAGTAGAAAGTACAGGTATTTGAGTTCAACATGTGAGAAGTAGAAAGTACAGGTATTTGAGTTCAACATGTAGGAAGTAGAAAGTACAGGTATTTGGGTTCAACATGTAAGAAGTAGAAAGTACAGGTATTTGAGTTCAACATGTAGGAAGTAGAAAGTACAGGTATTTGGGTTCAACATGTGAGAAGTAGAAAGTACAGGTATTTGAGTTCAACATGTAAGAAGTAGAAAGTACAGGTATTTGTGTTCAACATGTAAGAAGTAGAAAGTACAGGTATTTGGGTTCAACATGTGAGAAGTAGAAAGTACAGGTATTTGAGTTCAACATGTAAGAAGTAGAAAGTACAGGTATTTGAGTTCAACATGTAAGAAGTAGAAAGTACAGGTATTTGTGTTCAACATGTAAGAAGTAGAAAGTACAAGTATTTGAGTTCAACATGTAAGAAGTAGAAAGTACAGGTATTTGTGTTCAACATGTAAGAAGTAGAAAGTACAGGTATTTGAGTTCAACATGTAAGAAGTAGAAAGTACAGGTATTTGAGTTCAACATGTGAGAAGTAGAAAGTACAGGTATTTGAGTTCAACATGTTAGAAGTAGAAAGTACAGGTATTTGAGTTCAACATGTAAGAAGTAGAAAGTACAGGTATTTGTGTTCAACATGTAAGAAGTAGAAAGTACATGTATTTGAGTTCAACATGTTAGAAGTAGAAAGTACAGGTATTTGAGTTCAACATGTAAGAAGTAGAAAGTACAGGTATTTGAGTTCAACATGTAAGAAGTAGAAAGTATGGTATTTGGGTTCAACATGTGAGAAGTAGAAAGTACAGGTATTTGAGTTCAACATGTAAGAAGTAGAAAGTACATGTATTTGAGTTCAACATGTTAGAAGTAGAAAGTACAGGTATTTGAGTTCAACATGTAAGAAGTAGAAAGTACAGGTATTTGAGTTCAACATGTAAGAAGTAGAAAGTATGGTATTTGGGTTCAACATGTGAGAAGTAGAAAGTACAGGTATTTGAGTTCAACATGTGAGAAGTAGAAAGTACAGGTATTTGAGTTCAACATGTAAGAAGTAGAAAGTACAGGTATTTGGGTTCAACGTGTAAGAAGTAGAAAGTACAGGTATTTGAGTTCAACATGTAAGAAGTAGAAAGTACAGGTATTTGAGTTCAACATGTGAGAAGTAGAAAGTACAGGTATTTGAGTTCAACATGTGAGAAGTAGAAAGTACAGGTATTTGAGTTCAACATGTAGGAAGTAGAAAGTACAGGTATTTGAGTTCAACATGTGAGAAGTAGAAAGTACAGGTATTTGAGTTCAACATGTAAGAAGTAGAAAGTATGGTATTTGGGTTCAACATGTGAGAAGTAGAAAGTACAGGTATTTGAGTTCAACATGTAAGAAGTAGAAAGTATGGTATTTGAGTTCAACATGTGAGAAGTAGAAAGTACAGGTATTTGAGTTCAACATGTAAGAAGTAGAAAGTACAGGTATTTGAGTTCAACATGTAAGAAGTAGAAAGTATGGTATTTGGGTTCAACATGTGAGAAGTAGAAAGTACAGGTATTTGAGTTCAACATGTAAGAAGTAGAAAGTATGGTATTTGAGTTCAACATGTGAGAAGTAGAAAGTACAGGTATTTGAGTTCAACATGTGAGAAGTAGAAAGTATGGTATTTGAGTTCAACATGTGAGAAGTAGAAAGTACAGGTATTTGGGTTCAACATGTGAGAAGTAGAAAGTACAGGTATTTGAGTTCAACATGTAAGAAGTAGAAAGTATGGTATTTGGGTTCAACATGTGAGAAGTAGAAAGTACAGGTATTTGAGTTCAACATGTAAGAAGTAGAAAGTATGGTATTTGAGTTCAACATGTGAGAAGTAGAAAGTACAGGTATTTGAGTTCAACATGTAGGAAGTAGAAAGTACAGGTATTTGGGTTCAACATGTAAGAAGTAGAAAGTACAGGTATTTGAGTTCAACATGTAGGAAGTAGAAAGTACAGGTATTTGGGTTCAACGTGTAAGAAGTAGAAAGTACAGGTATTTGAGTTCAACATGTAAGAAGTAGAAAGTACAGGTATTTGAGTTCAACATGTGAGAAGTAGAAAGTACAGGTATTTGAGTTCAACATGTAGGAAGTAGAAAGTACAGGTATTTGAGTTCAACATGTAAGAAGTAGAAAGTACAGGTATTTGGGTTCAACATGTAAGAAGTAGAAAGTACAGGTATTTGAGTTCAACATGTAAGAAGTAGAAAGTACAGGTATTTGAGTTCAACATGTGAGAAGTAGAAAGTACAGGTATTTGAGTTCAACATGTAGGAAGTAGAAAGTACAGGTATTTGGGTTCAACATGTAAGAAGTAGAAAGTACAGGTATTTGAGTTCAACATGTAGGAAGTAGAAAGTACAGGTATTTGGGTTCAACATGTGAGAAGTAGAAAGTACAGGTATTTGAGTTCAACATGTAAGAAGTAGAAAGTACAGGTATTTGTGTTCAACATGTAAGAAGTAGAAAGTACAGGTATTTGGGTTCAACATGTGAGAAGTAGAAAGTACAGGTATTTGAGTTCAACATGTAAGAAGTAGAAAGTACAGGTATTTGAGTTCAACATGTAAGAAGTAGAAAGTACAGGTATTTGTGTTCAACATGTAAGAAGTAGAAAGTACAAGTATTTGAGTTCAACATGTAAGAAGTAGAAAGTACAGGTATTTGTGTTCAACATGTAAGAAGTAGAAAGTACAGGTATTTGAGTTCAACATGTAAGAAGTAGAAAGTACAGGTATTTGGGTTCAACATGTGAGAAGTAGAAAGTACAGGTATTTGAGTTCAACATGTGAGAAGTAGAAAGTACAGGTATTTGGGTTCAACATGTGAGAAGTAGAAAGTACAGGTATTTGGGTTCAACATGTGAGAAGTAGAAAGTACAGGTATTTGAGTTCAACATGTAAGAAGTAGAAAGTACAGGTATTTGAGTTCAACATGTGAGAAGTAGAAAGTACAGGTATTTGAGTTCAACATGTTAGAAGTAGAAAGTACAGGTATTTGAGTTCAACATGTAAGAAGTAGAAAGTACAGGTATTTGTGTTCAACATGTAAGAAGTAGAAAGTACATGTATTTGAGTTCAACATGTAAGAAGTAGAAAGTACAGGTATTTGAGTTCAACATGTAAGAAGTAGAAAGTATGGTATTTGGGTTCAACATGTGAGAAGTAGAAAGTACAGGTATTTGAGTTCAACATGTAAGAAGTAGAAAGTACATGTATTTGAGTTCAACATGTTAGAAGTAGAAAGTACAGGTATTTGAGTTCAACATGTAAGAAGTAGAAAGTACAGGTATTTGAGTTCAACATGTAAGAAGTAGAAAGTATGGTATTTGGGTTCAACATGTGAGAAGTAGAAAGTACAGGTATTTGAGTTCAACATGTGAGAAGTAGAAAGTACAGGTATTTGAGTTCAACATGTAGGAAGTAGAAAGTACAGGTATTTGGGTTCAACGTGTAAGAAGTAGAAAGTACAGGTATTTGAGTTCAACATGTAAGAAGTAGAAAGTACAGGTATTTGAGTTCAACATGTGAGAAGTAGAAAGTACAGGTATTTGAGTTCAACATGTAGGAAGTAGAAAGTACAGGTATTTGGGTTCAACATGTAAGAAGTAGAAAGTACAGGTATTTGAGTTCAACATGTAAGAAGTAGAAAGTACAGGTATTTGAGTTCAACATGTGAGAAGTAGAAAGTACAGGTATTTGAGTTCAACATGTAGGAAGTAGAAAGTACAGGTATTTGGGTTCAACATGTAAGAAGTAGAAAGTACAGGTATTTGAGTTCAACATGTAGGAAGTAGAAAGTACAGGTATTTGTGTTCAACATGTAAGAAGTAGAAAGTACAGGTATTTGGGTTCAACATGTAAGAAGTAGAAAGTACAGGTATTTGAGTTCAACATGTAAGAAGTAGAAAGTACAGGTATTTGGGTTCAACATGTGAGAAGTAGAAAGTACAGGTATTTGAGTTCAACATGTAAGAAGTAGAAAGTACAGGTATTTGTGTTCAACATGTAAGAAGTAGAAAGTACAGGTATTTGAGTTCAACATGTGAGAAGTAGAAAGTACAGGTATTTGAGTTCAACATGTAAGAAGTAGAAAGTACAGGTATTTGTGTTCAACATGTAAGAAGTAGAAAGTACAGGTATTTGAGTTCAACATGTAAGAAGTAGAAAGTACAGGTATTTGAGTTCAACATGTAAGAAGTAGAAAGTAAAGGTATTTGAGTTCAACATGTAAGAAGTAGAAAGTACAGGTATTTGTGTTCAACATGTAAGAAGTAGAAAGTACAGGTATTTGAGTTCAACATGTAAGAAGTAGAAAGTACAGGTATTTGGGTTCAACATGTGAGAAGTAGAAAGTACAGGTATTTGAGTTCAACATGTGAGAAGTAGAAAGTACAGGTATTTGAGTTCAACATGTGAGAAGTAGAAAGTACAGGTATTTGGGTTCAACATGTGAGAAGTAGAAAGTACAGGTATTTGAGTTCAACATGTGAGAAGTAGAAAGTACAGGTATTTGGGTTCAACATGTGAGAAGTAGAAAGTACAGGTATTTGAGTTCAACATGTAAGAAGTAGAAAGTACAGGTATTTGAGTTCAACATGTGAGAAGTAGAAAGTACAGGTATTTGAGTTCAACATGTGAGAAGTAGAAAGTACAGGTAAAGTAAAGTACTGATAGCAGAAACATGTACTTAAGTACAGTAACGAAGTATTTGTACTCCACTACTTCCCACCTGCCTCATTCAGACTATTTGGAATATAATACATGCAATATATGACAAAGGTTATTGGTATTTAAAGTTTAAATATGTGAGTCAATAGAAGGGCTGTCCTCGATTGAAAATATTCTTAACCCTAACATAGTTTTTTCCAAAATCTAATCAAAACATCTCACGATTACAAAGCATCATTTAAATCTTGTGTTAACCAGAGTTGTGTTCATTCGGTCCGAACAATGCTTTAGGAAACGACTAATCGACTAACGAATGGTCTTCCCGCCTGTAGGGCAGCGTGATTTAACGAGCAGAGAGAAAACACACCTGCTGAATGTAGAGTGTGGTCATGTTGATGATGTGGTTGATGTAAGAGCAAGTACCGATCTCCTCCACGTTGGACAGGTTCCTATCGGAAAACATGCACAGACACACAAGACAAGTCAAACATCAAAGCAGCTGTGACGACCAGAAGGTAGACATACTAAATAATAACAAAGCTTTATTTGTATCGAGTGGAAACACGTCACAAATTAAACGGAGAACAATAAATGAACTTCACATGCAGCATAACAACATAATATAACAATTAACCCTCCGGTGTCACTGTGGACGTTTTTGTCCATATGGGTCATTTTTTTGGTTGTGTTGCTGCAAACGGCCTGAGCTTTGTAACAAGGCTATTTTCTCGATCTATTTTGGAATTTCAATTTTTGAAATCGGTCTTTAATTCACTGTGTAACAAATCGACTACGCAAATTAGTCATTCGAGACTAAAATGTCCACTGCAAAAGACTTTAAAAACATTATATTAAAAGATTTTTTCACAACTTTTTTGGGTTCAATCTTTAAAGCAACTTCCGCCCTAATAGAAAATACCAAGAATGTTCAGGATTTTAACCCTTTAAATGCCATTTTGAATACATGAAACCGCTGTTCTTTTCATGATGAAGTGTTATTTTCCATAAAATACATATCTGGGGACTGGCTCTTTCATTTTTGTCTCGAATGACTAATTTGCGTAATCCAAACGAATGATACCGGAGCGTTAAAGGGGACATAAGAAGGTAAAAGGTGTGATAATACAAATACAAAGGTTGGTGTTGCTAATATCTTCTCTTCCTCTGTGAAATATCTATGCTGTTGGTGCATGTGATGTACAAATAATACAAATAAAATAAGTGGTGATGCTCATAAAAAGGCTAATCTAAAATGATGTGTCTCCAGCTGTCGTTTAACGATGTATTAGTCGTCTAAAAAACCAAAGAAAGCGGACCCATACGTCCCAATCTCTTCCTCTGTGAAATACCCATGTTGTTGGTGCATGTGATCCATTCATACTGTTACTCGATAATAAGACACACTTCCGTCTTAGCACGTCGCTTAATTTCAGCACAACGGCATCTTCGGATAACACGTAACTCCACTTCCCAAAACATCCGGAACACATTAAGCAGGAACAGAAAGAGTCGGTGAACACATACCGGCAGATGATGATGAGGAACTTGAGCAGCAGCAGAGCCAGGTGTTGCTGCTCGGCCTCCAGGCCATCAGAGGCTTTCTGGACGCATTGCAGCAGCTGGTGGCGCAGCACCTGCAGGATGTTGTCCGGGAGGAGCGTCAACACGGGAGGAAGCTCATCTGGCCTGGAGAGACACAGAAGCTGATGAAGATCATTTATTTAACCCTCAGACGCATAAATGGTGAGGTGGGTTTCTTGAAGTATCTTTGTAATTACATTTTCTTATCATTTCATATTCCAGCTATTCCTCAAAAAACATGTTTTGGATATCTATTTCATTGGAACTTGGGAAATGTTCTCAACTGTCTTCTAAATAATTGTAAAACCAACGTTATGCGTTACATTGATACTGTAATCCAAACAGATCCCCCACACACACACACACACACACACACACACACACACACACACACACACACACACACACACACACACACACACACACACACACACACACACACACACACACACACACACACACACACATCACACACACACACACCACACACACACACACACACACACACACACACACACACACACACACACACACACACACACACACACACACACACACACACACACACACACACACACACACACACACACACACACACACACACACACACACACACACACACACACACACACACACACACACACACACACACACACACACACACACACACACACACACACACACACACACACACACTCACACAACACGTCCTAGGTAGTTAAACACGTCCGTTTCAGTCCAGTGTCGTCAAATACAATCCACAATCCTAAAACTACATTTCCCAGAATTCACAGCACCACAATAAAATGCAATCTTCTGACACATTCTGTGGACACACACACACACACACAGCAGAAAAGTGGGTTCTTCTTAGAGGTAAAAGGGAGGTCAGTGTTATTGGTGAAATGTTATGGACAGGCGTGAGGTAGGGTGTGAGAAAATCTGCACACACTGTGTATGATGATATGATGTTGATTCTCTACATGTGTATAGATACAGAATGTGTATCTGTGTGTGTTTCCTTCAAATGTCACAAATCACAGTTTTGCACACGTTACCTCGAAGGTGGCTTTTCAAAGTCCACGTCGAGGCATCTCTCGTAGGAGCTGATGAAAATCTCCAGCCATATCTTCAGGTAGTCTGGATCCCTCTGAGGAAAGAAGACCATATGGTTAGTGGCATTGCTGACTGTGTGTGTGTGTGTGTGTGTGTGTGTGTGTGTGTGTGTGTGTGTGTGTGTGTGTGTGTGTCTTTACAGTTTAGTATGATAGCGACACTGGATATGAAAGATTGTTGCGTCAAAAGCCAAGGACACTTTTCTCCTTTAGGAAACCACTCGTTCCCCTTCCTGTTTTGTCATTACAAAGTTTAAAAACAAAAAGGATACAGGAGTGAGAGGTTCACAAAGCGGCTACTACAACCTGACAGACCGGTGAATGTCTCAGGTGTGTTCGTCTCTACTCTCTTAGGGCGTGGAAGCTCAAACATGCACCTGTTGGGAAACAGGCACGGCTGCATTGTGAGGGGGGGGGGGGGGTATTTCCCAGCAGCCGGCTGATCGACATTTCCTAAATTCCTGGAACAATGCCGAGCGAAAGACGGGATGGCACCAGAGGAAGGCTTGGTCACAGGTCCTGGAGTTAACCCCTTCACCCACAGGAACAAACTAATCCTGCTAACTGGGAAGATATGGATCATTAATGCGTTAATGGTATTTCTAAGCTGGAAAATGCTTCAAACTTCACCTGTTGTTGACGGTAGGAAAAAGGAACCGTCATGTTCGTAGCAATCCATCCAACATGTCCGACTTAAGTACAGATTTTGAAGCCCCAGCATGCCTTGTGGCGCACATTTGTCACTCTGCTTTGAAACTGAAAATGTATCCTGAGGCTAAGCCGACCAGCATTGCTATATAAAGTAACCCCGGAAGACACGATGCAATGAGAGGAGGATGTCTTTATTTCCTCAGCAGTTCTTACGTAACGCCTCTTGGATTCTGCAGAAGCTACTTGACTTTAATTCAGACATATTTGCAGATGAGAGCTTGACTGTAATAAAAGAGACAGTCAGACTGCTGTCTGCGTGTCAGAGTGGAACTCAGCCAGAGCGGAGCAGGAAGCTATGAAGTCATCAGAACTGTGTGTGTGTGTGTGTGTGTGTGTGTGAATAATATATTCCAAAACTGATCTATAAATACTCTATTGTCTTTATATGACTGCCCAGAAAATGAGATGATGATGATGTATGCCAGCAGCTCTCAAGTGACTGAGCCTCACTAGCAGCAGTGACTGAAGGAGTGTGTGTGTGTGTGTGTGTGTGTGTGTGTGTGTCTGAAAGAATGTCCTCTTTTAGGCAGCAGCTTGGGAGCACAGATGCCCATTGAGGGTTAGGACTGTGGCGGACACACCCTGCTCTGCATGGCACACACACACACACACACACACACACACACACACACACACACACACACACACACACACACACACACACACACACACACACACACACACACACACACACACACACACACACACACACACACACACACACACACACACACACACACACACACACACACACACACACACACACACACACACACACACACACACACACACACACACACACACACACAGTTCCCGTGAGAAGATAACATGCCTCTCCTGTTTATCCCGGGCCCTTTGCCACTGAACCACATTCCTAACGATCTGTTTAAGGTGACCTCTGAGAGGATAACAAGGTCACCGGCAACGCAGATCGATGCACTCGGAGATCCCCGTTGACAGAATGAAACAAGAGACGTGTGTAATGGGATGGGAACTCCTCACAACTAATGATGTGGTCTCAGGAGATTATTGCATCAATTCATAGGAACTCTAATATGGAAAAGGTCAAAGTGCTGTTTTCTGCCGCTTTTCTGTTTGATATTAGATGAAAGTTCAACACGTGGCTCTGGACTGACCAAACAAGACATTTAAAGACCTCAGCTTGGACCAGGATGGACGTGTAATTGATGTAAATAGATAAGACAGCGCAGCAGCAACCCGGCTCCTCCAGACGGGCGCGGTCTGGATTCTGAGAGTGACCTGGTTTTAGTGGAAGGAGTGGCATCGAGTCGCTGAAACCACAACGTTTAAAAAGCTCTCCTCCCAGTAGGTCTGTGGTCAGCCATGACAGCACTGACACGTGTATTTAAAGAGGCTTCTGGGCAGGGTCATCGAGTACTTAAATACACATTAGAGATACTTCTACTTGTGCTTTTATACTTTTACTCGTTGTGCTTTTACTCCACGACATCATACATGTTTATTCTTTAAAATAGGATTATTTGGTGTAGATGAAACCAACATTATATTTAAGTGACTGAAACCATGAGTGTTAACAGAACTTTGATTGGCAGCGACGATATTTTAAAGTACTTTTACTCCGAAGTACATTTCCCTAATCGTACTGAAACACTTTTACTCGATGCAGTACTTTTACTCGATGCAGTACTTTTACTTGCAATGAAGTACTTTTTCAGTGTTGCATTCGTACTTTTACTCGATGCAGTACTTTTACTCTTTGCAGTACTTTTACTCGATGCAGTACTTTTACTCGGCCTGAATGCTTGTCCACCGCTTGGGATAAACACGTCTGACACGCTCCGTCAGTGACGTCAGTGTTCGTCCACAGAGGAAACTGAGAAGCCAAAGGGTGGCAGAATAAAACCCAGAGAAAGATTCCCAAGGGCGACAAACTTTACATACCGGCGACTAAAGCCTGAGTGTGTGTGCGAGGCATTGTGTGCATGTGTGTGTGACAACAGAGATTAAACCGTACCGAGCAAACAAGCAGCAAAGACTTGAGTAATCTACTCTGGGACAAACATGTGGAACCAAGACGCTTTCTCCTCCTCCGTCGTCTCCAGCTTCATTTCCCTTCTCGCTATTCTGACTCCTAAAATGCCAGGGCTTATGCAAATGACTCTTTTATCCGTTTCTAGTCAAAAAGCAACTCAAAGGGAATAAAAACAAGACAAGAAATGTAAAAATAGTGCAAGAAGAAAAGAGATTAAGTTGCAAGATCAAATGTTCGAGTCATGCATTTATGGTAGTGGTAAATGCAATGTGAGATGCAACCAAATGTCTGCCAGTGACCCTGTGTCGTGGACTAGCAGGGGTTCGCTGTAGAACGAAGCCTCCGCAGGCTGAAATGACGGCGCTGGTTGTTGAGGCATGCTCCATGCTGGGGTTGAGCATTAAAAAGGGCTTTTCTGCAGCTTACAGAGTAACTGGCACGATTCAGACGTCTCCACTTTCTCTGGATCATAATCTGCTGAAACAAAGCGGAGCGCCCCCGGAGTTTCTCCAGCGGTTCTTGTGGGGAAAACACAAACCAATGACAGGCAGCTAAAGGATCGCTGGCTATGTAACTTAGCTGTCATCTGCGTCCTATCAGCTCAAGTCATAAGTCAGGCAACTTCTGAGGATTAAGGCTTCACCTACACAACTACACAGTGTGCATGAAACACCTGCAGAAGTCTCCACTGTTTCAAGGTGGTAAAGTCCAACCACGACTATCTTTCCCTGCTCGTTTTCAACCATATATTTACAAATGCAATGATCAAGACTTTCCACATGATGAAGGTATCAGTGTAAACATATCATACTTAACCCATCTAGGATCTATGAGGCGTTTGCCCGTTCATAGACAGTTACTTTCCATACAGTCTCAATGCAAGTGAAGACACACCTATAGGATCATTTAAACATTACATTTTAAGACATTAATTGAAGCATCTGTTTAAACCCCGCCCCTTTCCACTGACACAAAGGAGACACTGCTTTGTCAATCATTAGACGGACATATAGTCGAGAAGTGTTAGTTGCAGCCGTATGAAGCAGCCTTCAAAGACGCGTGCATACGGACTGAAGATCAGTCAATAACTGGGAATCAATCATTAATGCATTTGTAGTTAAACTATGTCAGAAAGGACTGAGGCTCGTTGTGCAACACTTCAACTTTTCAAAGGTCTCAGACCAACATTCCTCATGTGATTTATGCCGCCAGCCATACCTGACATTTCAGCTGCTCAGAGGCCGCTACATATATATTAAAATGCTTCCCTCTCAGCGTCTCGTCTGCCTCACACAGAGAGACATGTTGGCCCTGTGGACCCTTGGCTTGCAGCCAGGATGAAATGAAATGATCCCTCAAAGCTCATGTGAGGAACTTTAATTGCCAAGTGAATTAAATCTAGCCAACAGCTGACTCAAGGTCTCCACTATGGTCATCCATTCATCTCCACGGTAACAACAAACCAATCTCCTCCATGCACTGCACCTTTAAAACCTGACAGTATCACATGGCATCCCGACGAGATTTCTACACATGCTTCAACTGTTTTTCCGACTTGGGGAAAAGGAGCATATTCGTAACACTGGTTGCATTGGTTCTCTGTCAATGAACTGCTAATGTATAAACCACTCTGTCCCAGTCCAATACATCCTGCAGGATGGGCAGGCAATGTCATTAGTCTGGGTCTAATTGGAGCATTTTAGAGCCCTGTTAATGTTTATGTGCTGTTCAAGTGTAGCGCTTGGTTTAAAAAGATTGCCACACAATTATTACAATCAGTGATTTTGGTTTTTAAAACGTCTGTCACTATTTACCGCTGACCGTAGTGTTTAATTCGTAGGTTTTTCATTGCTATAACTTCACTGTAGCTGTGCATATGATGATGCCAGGGGGGAAATACCATCACACTGCCCCCTACTTCACCTAATGACATTCTCCCAGAAGTATTGCGTCCTTACCTTGGTGCAGTAGAGCATCCAGACCTCGTACAGTCTCTCCTTGGATGCCATGTTGCTTTAGTGTCACTTCTCCGGCTGCTTCATGGTTTTCAGTCATGAGCTAAACCTCCCCCGCTGACCTCCAATGTTCAACATCATGGCAAAGGTGGAACACTCCTTCAAAAGATGCCAAGGAAACTTTCCAAGAATGATTCCATGGCACAGGATTTGGCGCAGTAATTCCACTTCTGTAGATCTTCTCGGAGAACCAGGGGGTGATTCCCAGCAGTGTTTGCACTATCAATGACAAACAGACAGTTACTAAACATGGAGGCGGATGTTTTGCCATAAAAATACAACACTGTGAAGCCAATAACACGTGTAGTCAATACTTTACTTATTTTAACATTTGCAAGGCATGACTTTTACTTGTACAGAAGTATTCCTACACTCTGGTACTTCTATATTTGCTTTAGTACAAGATCTGAGTACTTCTACCACCCCTGTATTCCCAGCAGTGTTTGCACTATCAATGCCAACACACACTTAACATGGAGGCGGATATCTTGTGAAAATAAGAGTTCACTGCCAGCAGAAAGCATCCAGTTTCGGTGCTCCAAAGCCCCCAGGAAGTGAAGCAAGTTTGTTTAGGGGTTAAACGACAGTACTACAACTTCCCTGTCAGTCCATGACGTCATTGGGCCTAAATGACTTTTCCCCCATTGACTTACTTTGGGAAAGAGAGGTCTGTATATCAACCATATCAACAGATACTTTGACCTAATTTAAATTACCCAGCAGGAACACTTTTAAAGCCCTTATTTAAATCATTGAGTTATTTATATGATGAGATGTTTATATTTTAGAACTTGTTTAATTTCTACTATGTTTTCAAATGATGTGCATACCTTTGTTTACAAAAAAACCCCACAATTTGGGA